ACTCACCCGCCTCGCTGTAGGCCAGACGCAACACGCGGCCCAGCGTGGAAAAGGTGCACCTCGACTGGCTCAGCCCCTGGCAGTCGACAGCGAACACCTCCACCTTGCAGCCCGCCGCCACGAACAGCGCGTCGCGCCCTCCGCCGCAGAAGCGCTCGGGCTCCTGCTTGCAGGGCACCACCTGCTGCGACCCGAACGGGTGCAGGTTGTACAGCTGTACCATCCCGGAGACCGCCTGCGGGCCCCCCTCACGGGGCGCCTGGAGACCCCGCGCCGGCAGCTGAAGCGGGACCACTTCCGCGAGCAGCCGGCCGCGACGGGTCACGTGACCTCCGGCCCCGCCCGCCAGTGGCGCTGCTGCCTAAAGAGGCGGGTGGCGGGGAAGATGTCACACCACTTTCGGACCCGCTCCCTCAACCCCCCCACACCCCCCCGACTCCGCCCGGCTGAGCATCCACGGGGCTCAACCGTCAGCCGATCGCTCTTGCCGGGACTGCCGCCTTCTTCCTCTTTTCACACTACCGTTTGGGATCAGGAGGGTTGTTTAGGTCTTTTAGTATGTTTTAACACTTGATCATCAGCTCTCTGGTACCGTGTCCACCTTGCTTTTGGAGACAGTGCTCAAGTCTCCCATATATCCCAGGAACTCCTGGATGGAGGATGGCACTATAAAAACAAGTGAGGTCTACAGGGCTCAACTCGAGATGAAGACACCAGTGATGCTCAGAAATACTGGAAATGCTAGGATGGTTTAGTTGAAAAGAGTGACATGGAGAAGTTTGGGCGGAGAAGGGGTCTTAAGTGCTGAATGAAAGACTCCATGGACATAATATGGTGAACTCTAGGTATTTGCAAAAGATTAGTATAAGCCCCAGAGGCTAAAAAGGCCTAGGGATGAAAACCACTATCAGCCCTAACACTCTGCTGTAATCTGTGCCCTGTATCTATTCCTGACATCTCAATGTGCAGTTCTTGATATCAAGGCCAGTTTTTATGCAGATTTACTTAAGTGAACATTGTGGCCAGAAAATATATAGGGCAAATATAGATTATGGGGTACTGCCTTCCTTTCAGCATACAGGCACAGAACTGAAACAGAAAGATCAAAATGACCTGTCCCTCTCATTCCTTCCAAGAATTTACAAAGCAGGTGCAATTAGATTGAAGTTAAACCCTGCCTCCATTTCCTGTGCCTCCACATGAATTAAGTATTTCTAAGCAATATACAACTAGTGGGAACTTTGTGTACAAGGGTTTCATCAAACTCAGTAAGGCTAATAAGTAGACATGTGTGCTCTGCATAGCCAGCTACAGCTGAAAACTCATGGAAGGCTTCTACAGAAAACAATCTAACAGTCCACAAAACATTTGCTTTAGGTAAACATTTGCTCATTCTACAATACCTCCACAAATATGAATCATATCCTTTTTTGATTTTCTACTTCAAGAAAAATTTTATTCATTAAAACTTAAAGTCAAAAAGTGTAATTGTAATTTAACCTGCTTAAAAAATGTATCTATATTGGAGAGGGCCGTCCATGGTGCCTCAGCAAGTTAAAGCACATCATTAAGAAGCTAAAGCTACTTCAGTATGACTTTGCTCCCTGCCCTGGAGGCAATCTACATGGCATAGCAGACTTCTCCTGACCTGCCTGCTGCTCCTCTCAGCAGTGTACTTGTCAGTCAGCCAGTTCTGCTCCCCACTCTGTCTGTCTCTGGTGAGCCCTCTCAGCGCCCCTGCACCTCTGGCCTGTACCCCAATTCTGTAGGCATACATAAATAAATCTTTCTTTTTAATGTATCTATATTGGAGAAAGAGGTTAAGATTTGCTTTAAAAATTTAAAAACAAAACACACCAATTCATTCTAGAGATAGCCTCCTCTCTTACTACAAGTTTATTTTCATCTACCTTATTTAAGATTCTTAGGAATAGACTTGCTAGCCAAAGGAAGGTAGGGGATTTGCCTGTCTGGAGCTATAAGTAAGAGCTTGCCACTTGCAGTCCTGTTTAAATGCCAGAGCAGTGGTGGACACAGCATCATTTCCCTATTGGAAGCTGTGTTCTTTTGATAGGGCCACCAAAAACAATTAGCACAAACTGGATTGCTTAACAGAAAATTTAGCTCTCACCATTCCGGAGACTGGGAGTCCAAAATGAAGGTACCAGCATAACTGACTTAGGGCACTGTTGGGAGTTGAAGACTGCAGACATTTCGCTGTGTGCTCATTTGTTGGAAGGAGGTAAGGAATTCGGGAGACCTCTTCAAAAAAACACAAATTCTATTTATGAGGGTTCCACTCCTTGACCCACTCACCTCCCTTAGACTCCCCTTCCTAACACCACCAACTTGAACGTTAGGATTTCAACATATGAATTTGGGTCTGGAGGCAGGTTACAAACACTCAAATCATAACAGCCACCTTCTCCCTGTGTCCCCACCTTGTCTTTCCGGCTGTACTTGCATCCCAGGGATCTCTTCCTTTTCTTACAAGAATAATAGTCATATTGAGTGATACCCCCTCACCCCCCATGAATGCACTTAACCTTAATCACCTTTTAAAAGTTGTATCTTCAAATACAATGACATTTTGAGGTACTGGGAATTAGGGCTTCAGTATGGAAATGGGAATGAGGGGAAGAGGGTATAAGTTAGCCCATCACAGAGGCACTTAAAGTCGGGGCTCCAGTTGAAAAGATGTGTCTTAAGGACTTTTAAAAACTTTATTTGCCTGGAAGGCTTAAGGGGCTTACATGAGTTTCTTCTGTGGAAGTTTCTTCCACAGAAAAGTTCCACCACAGACAGAAGTGGATACAAAGATAGTTTTCCAAAAACATGGATAAGAAGCTATACTCAGACAGTCTAGAAAATTGTTCTAGATTCCTGAGACATTGGTTCTCAATCATATTTATGAAGTAACCCCAGGATATCTACAATGATCTTAAGAGAATGATTTTTTTTATTACTATAAAATGTACTTCATTAAAAAGTCACAAAAATTAGGCCCTCCCTGGTGACGCAGAGGGTTAAAGCATTTCACTGAGAAGCTAAAGCCACTTCCGCATGAGTTTGACTCCCACCTGCCCCGGAGGTGACCACATGGCGTGGCAGACCTCTTCTGACCGGCCCACTGCTCCCCTCAGCAGTGTACTTGGTCAATCTGCCTGTTCTACTCCCCACTCTGTCTCTGGTGAGGCCTCTCGCGGCCCCTGAGCCTCTGGCCTGTACCCCAGTTCTGTATGCACAAATAAATAAATCTTTAAAAAAAGAAAGTCACAAAAATTAAACATGGATACAGTGAAGCAATTCCTCAGAGGTAGTCAATGGTAATACTTGCAAGCCTTGAGGTTGAGGAAGTGGGAAAGGAAGGGCATTACAAGTATAGGAATCTGCTCGTACGTACTATATATGACTGATGATCTTTTTTCTTTAAACTAAAACTCTGGCTTTGAACTGAGATTCCTGCCCTGATGACAACTTCATGAGTACCAGAAATTAACCAAGCAGACCAGAATGGACCAAAGGCAAGATAACTGGAGGGCTGATAACCTGGGGCTGAACAATGTGAAGATACCAAAAACATCAGCTCTGAAAGACTATTCTGATGGACTGTTTGCTTATGACTGTTATTATAAAAAGCCCAGCTGGAGACGAGATGACAGAATAGTAGCTCCATTCTCTCAGATCAATGGCTAGCAATCTGAAAAAGAAAAGTGCTTACAAAAGACAATTCTTATCTCTGCTTATTGCCTTTTTGGTAGTGAGAGAAGCAAAATCCAGGCCTATTCCCTGAAACACTATCAAGTCTACCTTTGGAATATATCCAGAATCTGACTACTTTCCACAATGTCGTTGCTACCATCCCAATCCATGTCACCATCATTTATTGCCTAGGCTATTGCAAAGGCCTGTAACAAGCTTTCCTACAGTATTATTGCTCACTCCCCACCCCCATTTCCTCTTACCTTTTTCTCTTCCTTTTCCAGTCAACTCAATCCTAAAATAAACAGGTGGCAGAGTGAGGTAAGTACACCATTATGGGGAAAGGAGAAAATGTGGAAAGGGGGAAAGTCAGAGTCCAAGTGAGGTGAGAGCATCCATGGTAGAGGTAGCCTAGAGTGGGAGTCAGGACCCAAGAATCATGAAGAGGACATCCCCAACAGGAGCACTACACTGCGTGAACACTGGAGTGCAGTGAGGAGTGTACCCATGCAGGATAGAGGATAGAGTGGACGCATGCAGAGACTGAGAAAGGTGAAGAGTGTACATCAGGGGGAGGGTGGCTGAGGATGGTATATCTGAGTCAAAGGGGAAGAGGATTTTCAAGTGACAGAGGCAGCCTGGCAGGAGGCTTGATATTCAGTAAATATAATTGTGATAATGAAATACAAGAGTTTATATGATCACAGAAAGGTAGGGTGCTAGAATCTAGCAGTCAACTTTGAGAAAACCAGAAATTGTCTATAGTGACAGGATACCGTAAGAAGAATACAGCATTCGTTTCTCTAATATTCCTACCAGTAGTGCATAAATTGAATCTAAGAATAAGGAAATATCAAACAAATGCAAGTTGAAGAAGATACTCAAAAGCACTGGCCTGGTAGAATATCTTTAGGGCAGTGTATGGTACTACTCTGTGATGGATATTGCATGCCACTATAAATTTGTCCAAACCCAAGAAGTTGTACTACACTAAGAGTGAATCTTAATGTAAATTATGAATGTTATGTTGGATAATATGTTGTAGCAAAAATACCACTCTGGTAGGGAGGATGTTGATAACAGGTAAGGTTATGCCTGTGCGGGGCAGCGAACAACATGACAAGCCTTGTCAAGATTTAATTCCTAGCCTAACTGCAGTTTCAGACTTGCTCAAAAGGGGAATTTTAAACCAATTAGTCTGGAACTTCCTGGTTAGCACCAGTGATAAAATTCATGATAATCCTCCCTGCTTTGGGACTAGAGTCCCATTATCAAGCTATCACCAGTTCAATCCCCAGCTAGGATGCTGGCCCACATGGCACAGCAGACCTCTCTGTCTTGTCCACTGCTCCCATTAACAGTCTATTTCATTGGATCCTGTTGGGTCCTTTGCCTGGAGAGACCTCCCCACCTCCCCCACAGAATCATATGCACACTGTTGTGTGGAAACAAA